CAGCCCCTCACATATTAGCCCAGTCGCCCCCTCGTCCTTCTCTTTGTGGGACAAAGGGCCCAAGAGTTGGGGGGGGGCACCTTGGAGGCCTTCTAGTCCAACCCCTTGCCTGAGCAGGAGGCCGTTCGAGGCCAATGGGCGCCCCGTCTCTTTTGGGGAGCATTAAGTGGTGGAGCACCCACAACTTCTAGAGACACGAACCCAGAGGAGAACGATTGGGGTGAAGGCGAAAACAGATGGGTGAGCAATTCCTGGGCTCGGCTCGTCTGGTGAAGAGAAAGACCCCAGAGCGGCCGTCCAGGGAGGGGGGGGTCCATTTATTCTCCAAAGCCCCTGAGAAGGCAGGAGGAGAAGCAACGGATGGAAACTCACCCAGGAGAGGAGCAGCCTGGAATTCAGCCGGAATTTCCTGACAGCCCGAGCAATCAGCCAGTGGAACCGCTTGCCACCAGAAGGGGCGGGTGCTCCATCACGGGAGGTTTCCAAGAAGAGATTGGACGGCCCTTTTTGTCTGGAATGGTAGACGGCTTCCTGCCTGAGCAGTGGGGGTGGACTAGAAGACCTCTAAGTCCCCTTCCAGTTTTATTCTATTCTACATTCAGCCCGTGTGATGGATCATTTGCCACTTTGCACGTGCGCGTGCGGCCACAACTCTTCCCAGGCAATTCAAAGCCCTTCTCCTTTTAGTTTTGAGAACGGAGGTTTGCAAGCAAGTAACTCTGGTTCCTTTTTCACTGGAATCCTAGTTCCTGCTTTCTCACGCCCCAAAGTGCCCGAAGCTGCTATTTATGTGCCCTCGTGCAAGTGGCCACCACGCAAGCCTTCCCACCCACACACCCACACACCCGGGCCTGTCGCTGGGAGGGCTCCTAAGGCAGGGGGTCTCCAGCTCCCAGAATTCGACTCCCAGAATCCCCCAGCCTGCAGAGGTTTACCAGAATTCAGCACTGATAGGACCCCGACCAAATGTGGCTGCAGTACTTTATTTGATAGGATAACTTTCTCCTTCTCCTCCTCTCCTTCTTCACTTCCTCTTCTCTTTCTCCTCTCCTCCTCCTCTTCTTCCTCCTCTTCCTCTCCTCCTTCTCCTCCTCTTTACTGTATAAAAGCAAAAAAACCCTCACCCATCACCACAAAATCTCCAGAACCGTAAAGCCTACAAACTTGAAATTTGGCACGTAGGTTCCTCTTGGCTTCTAGGGGCTCCCTAAGAAAGGATTTTTCCAAATGACCCTCAGAGCATTTAGAGTATTTCCTCTATTATTGTTGTTGTTGTTATTATTATTATTACACACAAAAATGACAGTATACACAGCAGACGAGATAACCATGTTGGGTTTCGTATCACAAATCACTAGTCGAACCCTTCCCAAGCGTTTAGGACTGCGTGATGTATGGGCGGATCATGCGAGCAGATCCCAGTAAGGTGGCCTTCTGCAGCTGACCAAGGGTGATCTGGTCAGCGTCAATTGTTTTCAAGTGCTGGCCTAGGTCTTTAGGCACAGCAGCACCCAGTGTGCCCAGTACCCCTGGAACCACCTGCACTGGTTTATGCCGGAGTCTCCGCAGTTCGATTCTCAAGTCCTGATATCTGGTGACTTTTGCAAGTTGTTTCTCCTCGATTCTGCTGTCACCAGGTGTGGCAATGTCGACCATCCACGCTTTTTTCTTCTCCACAATCGTGATATCCCGGGTGTTGTGTTCCAGAACTTTGTCGGTCTGTATTAAGACTAGTTTTGCATGCTCATTTTCGACCACTTTTTCAGGCTTGTGATGATCCCACCAGTTCTTTGCTACAGGCAGACTGCGGTTGTGACACAAGTTCCAGTTGTTGTTGTTGTTGTTGTTGTTATCTGATGCTAAAGCGTCTGACTCCCCCTCCACACACAGAAAGAAATTCTTCCAGAGGCAAAACACAAGCAGAGGAGTGTCAGTTTCACAACAGCAAGCAGCCTGAGTACGGAACAGTTGAGCTAAGCCATGCCCAGGCTCCTTGCTGTCTCCTTTCTCACCCAGCAAGTCTGTTTCAGTTTCCAAACAGCCCTCCACTCTCTCCTACACTGACAGGACGCTAGCCAGACGAATATCCATGGGTGCTTTTAGGCAGAGGCAGAATTTTTCCCCTCTTATTTTCCTCCCCCAAAACTTGACCGACCACAGGGTTTTCGTAGCGGGTCCTGAGCTAGTTCATAGATAAGTGGGAATGCGGTTGCCGTAATGTACCTTGACTTCGGCGAAATTTACCAAAAAAAAAGGCCGTCCTTAACCGCCGCAGCAATTTCCTTCGCAAACACGGCTAGGAAGCGTGGTTAACTGTGGTGCAACACTCCAGGTTGCAAATGCCAACCAAAATTTCCTTGGGGTTTGAAAAGCAGAATCCAGGATCCCAAAACAAGGAAATTCAACGGGGGCCGTAGTTTCTTTCTCTAGGGTGTATGTGGGTGGCCCTACAGAGCCGTCCTAGAAAGGATGACAGAACAAAATAACGAGTCGGAAGAGACCCTGTAGGTCATCTAGTCCAACCCCCTGCTTAAGCAGGAGACTGGGTACCAGTTCCGAGAAATGGCTGTCCAGTCTCTTTCTTCAAAGCCTCCAGCGGGGGAGGACCCACAACTCCAGCAGACCACAGAATCCCAGGCTCGGAAGGGACCCCAGAGGTCATCTACTCTAACCCACCGCTCCAGCAGGAGAGCCTATAACAATTCAGGCAAACGGCTGGCCAACCTCTTCGTAAAAACCTCTCGTTTTATATTCTTTGTGGCTTGAGTTCTACTGGCAGTTTATTTTCTCCTCTGATTTGAGTTCACATATGAGTGGGGATAATGTCAATAGGATGGGAAGATTTCCCCCTTCTCAACTCATCGGTATCCTGTACTCCTTCCGTGGGTTATTCCAGAGGGCAGGGTCTGCGTGGTTGTCTCCCCCGTCCCTCCACCCTCTGGAAGGGCGAGGGGCCAGTTGGGGGGGGGGCATCGCCCTCCTCGGATAAAGACCCTCTGAGCAGTTGGGTTGAGAACGGGAGTCTCCTCCCTCCACTCCAAAAAACCCCTAATTTTCCTTTTCCCTTTTTTTCTTTCTGCCTCTCCTTCCTTC